GTAAAAATCAGTCAGTCCAGACATTCTCTACAGATATAAAAGAACAAATTCAAATCTTGCTTTGGACATGTTTAATTTAGTTGACCCCCACATGGAGGATGCAAGGCCAGATATTTCCTCCCAGGAGTGCCTGGCTGCAGAGTGGGCTGACTCTGCCTACACCTTCAACCCATTTTTGTCCTGCCTAGGAAATATGCTGCAAAACATTTCAAGCTCCCTGTGTAAGCTGTGGGGAGAAATATGCAGTTTTAAGATGTGATGCACTGACCTATTTTAGGTCCTGTGAGGCAGGACATGGCAAGGGAGTCTGCTGGACTCAGGGCTGCTTTTAAGAGCAGTGTCACTGTACCCAGTAGATGGTTCAGGGCTTGATTTCATTGTTCATGTAAAGATGATAGGTGTCACCTGAGCTCTAAGGCTCTAAAGTGACTGAGACATCTACATGGGCAAGCAGATGTTACAGACCCCCCGTGGGAGACACATGTCTTTCTGGAGCAGCAGCCAGGGTATTCTGGTGTATCTCCAATGGTTCCGAGTATCTACTTGGGGGATACTCAAGTGAGCTTTTACTCTCTCCTGATTGCTTCACTTCGGTGGAACAGACTCTGACATGGGTGGTCAATAAAAATAGGGTAGTACCTGAAAGCAAGTGAGGTGTGCTGTGTGCCAGGGAAGATTTCTATCTATGGTGGAAATGGTGGGCACTGTGGTGAGCACTTACAGCTACTCAGCTTTGAAGCTAACCAACTGGAAGAAATAAAAATGGACAAAACAGTGGCCTCTGAGTCTTTGATAAAGCCCTTGCCCTACCTTTCTGGGTTAAATGGGCTACGTTATTGATGATGAGCTTTAGATGGCCCTCTGTGACCCAGGGGCTCAGAAGAAGAAGGGTGTTGTGGGGTGAGAGAGGTCCTGCAGGGAAGGGTGTTTCTGAAGGGTGGCTGTTCTCTGTCACTCCTCTGGAAAGGGACCAATGCTGGTGGTCTGTAGGAAATTAAATAAAGTACTCTGAGAATGTGGAAAGGACTTTTTTGTTTGTTTGTTTTGTTTTGTTTTGTTTCCAATTGAGGTCTTTTTAAAGTTTATTTGCAAAGAAGTGGTTCCTGTGAGGAGTTCCCTGTGAGGAGAGACACAGGGCTGGGGCAGTAGAGCAGAGACTGTGGCACAGGGAGGTTTGCGGGGACCAACCTCTACCCTGGTTTGCTTTGCTCTGTGCACCAAGAAAAACCAAGCACTGGGGCCTGAGGTGTCTGAGCTATTTGCATCAAAACGATCTGACGGTTCCTCTTGAAATGAGATGATATGAACTACTCTGTGGGTGGTTTCCAACCCAGGTATTTGAATCATGTCCTTGTTCCTGGCAGCTGAAACACTGGGTCATTGGTCTCCAAACATTTACAATTTTTCAGACGATGTCCTTGGTCTAAAGCTTTATTCCTATCCCAAGTCAACCACAAGAACACTTTCTTCTCTTCCAGCCAACACAGATTTTCATGTGGCTGATCTCCTGCATGAGTTTCAAATGCAGAAGCAAGAGAGATAATTTGATTAGAAAGCAACATATTTTTCCTCCTTGTATAAGAGCCTATGTGGTGAGACTGCACAGTGAGTAATAAATATAAAAACTAAACAAATATTTTGTCATTATGCCTGTGTGAGTTTTTGACCATTACTTATTTAAGATTGGTACATATAAAGAAAACATTGATAGACAGCTAGGTAGATAGATACGTAGATAGATAGATGATAAAGATGAATAAAGATAAAAGATAGATATAGAAGAATATTATGAATTCCTTAATTTTACTAAATTCTTCACGTGTACAATACATAAAAACTTTCAGAGACAAAATACCTCTTTTAATAGATTTCACTGAAATTATTCTTCCCATTTTGAAGAAAAAACAAACTAAAATCTGTAGTAATCCCAATTCTGTAACGTGATATTTTATCTTTAGTGAAGCCAACTCTGTCCAAACCAAAATGATTGTTATTGGTAGTATGTAGCCATTTTCTTACAGGTCTCTGCAGTGCTCAGTGCGAGGAGCTGCCCCTGTTGCGATGTGCCGACTGGCTCCTTGAAGAAGGCTCTGGTGACACTTCTGAGACCTCAGGCTTTGACAGGTGTAAAAGGCAATTTGAGGGTCTGAAAAGCCACGAGCTGAAATAATTTTGCCAGATTTTAGCCACCTTTCGGTATCTTGATTAAACAAATTTTTAACATCCTCGTGTTTGCAAGAGATCGGTGTTTGCTCTGGTCACTCACCCCTCCGTCTTGCTAGCTCCAGCTGAGACACTTGGGTCTCTCTAGAGATCTGTGAGTGGCTCTCAGGTGTGACACAGGATACTTGGGAGACCCTTGCCACCTCAAGCACCATCTGGAGACTGAGCAGGATGCTTTGCTGCACTTCAAATTGCACCAGATACTCCTGTCTATGGTGAACAACTGAATCGTGCCTGGAGGGGCAGTTCCCCCTGCCTGCTTTAGACATGTCTCTCAGTATGGGCTGAGGGAAGGCTGAATCTCTCCATGAGCTACATGGCTTGAAGTCTACCCCAGAAAAGACTCCTTTTCAGTGGTTCAAATTAGACAAAATGAATTTAACTCTGCTTTCTGTGTTATTCCTTATCTCTTCCTACCAGAGCTAGTTTGAAGTCGCAAGTCCTTTAGGTCACAGAAATCAAGCCAGAAAATAACTTCAGAATAACAATCTTTAATATTTACATATATCAGTGAGGCCAGTGATTGCACAGTTGGCAGGACAGAGCGTGTCCCCATTAGCACACAGACATGACATAAACATCCCCAGGGCAGGACAGCTTGGAACAAGCAGATGGCAGCAGCACAGTGCATTTACTTTCCTGTGCTGGAGGTGGTGTGTGCCAGTGGGTACTTCTCCCTCTCCTGGTGCTGGCCTAGCCCACACTGGCTTTAGCACAGATATGAGAGTCAGGGAGACAAAACTAAAGGATGAGGGCAGGGCTGATATTTAGGGGCTGTGAAGAGCTCACAGAGCCCCTCTGCTGATGGAGTCTTTCTCGGTCTAGCTGCATGCTGAATATCCTTACTTCTAGCTGCCTCATTGATTCTTTCCTGGTTGAAACAGTTGGCTTTGTTTTGATGTCCACTTTCTATGGTAACACTGTCCAAGCTTCACTGCTGACAAAGAACATGAGCTTTTTCAGCCACCTGGTAGGTTTGGATGCACCTAGTTTGGATGACTTCAAACTTCAACAAGTCTTATGCTCTTTTTACAGAAGGTACATTTAAGTTTTCTGGTCAAATTTCCTGCTTCTAGCAGTGAAGCTATGCTCCAAGGAAGTGTGTGTGTGTGCTCCTCATCTTATCACAGCTGGCATTTTCTTCCCCATTTTGTACAAAAGGGTTTACGTGCTGCATTAGAGGACAACACAACCAACCACGTGTGTCTGCAGTAACTGTGTTCAAATAACTTGCTCACATGCTACAATGCATAAATAGGAACAACATTTGACTGAGAAAACATGAATGTCTCGCTTTGAAAAAGAGACTCTAAGTGCTTTAAATATATTCAGATTTTCATTACAACATATATGCCTTCAGGATGAATGAAGATTATCTTGCAGTTTGGCTGACTCAGGGAACTCAGTGGCATGTCCAAGAATTAACCTTTGAGGAAGTCACTGAAATGACGGGGTTTCTGAAATTTGCTAGTCATGGACTTTAGCATCCAGGGCTTGATCTTGAGTGATGATGGGGCATGACACAGTTCCTGGTTGGAATTACTGTTTCTGTAACACTAAGACTGATGCAATTTTTTGCCTTTCAGATTATATCTTATTTGTTACTAAGCTGCACATAATTACTACCTTTATCAGTTTAAAGTTTATCTTTACCAGTTAATTGCTTGTCTGTGTGATCTGTTCTAGAACAGCCCTATAGCCCTGTGTGGAAATTAGTGAGACTCCTATGCAGTCTCGTGAGGGCAAAACTGGTGCTGAGCTTCTCCATCTTTTATTTAAACAGGACATTGTTAAACACTCGTTCCAACTCTACTGTCTATATTGACCCAAACGCCCCTCCAGGGCTACCACATCTCTCAGTTGCTCTTGAAGAACTGGTGTAGAAATGCACTGGACTTTGCTGAGCAAGAGTGCAAGCTGCCAAATGAGCACAAGGCTTGACTCCAGGGTGGCTGAGGGAGGCTGAAAACTGTGTGCTACAACTGCATCTGCGGTGTCACAAATGCTAAATCTGGGAGTGCCTGAGTAGCAGGTTAATAGGAACAGACAGGGGAGCTCAAGGTGGGATTTAGAGGGGATGGGAGGTTATTTACATCCAGCCAGAGAGTACCTGCTTCGTGCGGCTGATAAATGCGTACATTAACAAGGGTTCAGTTTGCCATATACACAAGAGGGCAGGCTGTGAACTTTGATCTGGGACCTTTGTGTTTTATGTACAATTCCCGCAGTCAGGACTGGACATACTAGTGGTTTTGCCAATACCTGAGATTTAGCAGGAATATTTAGAGAGATGAAAATTTGGAGTCTCAGATCTAAATGATCTATTTTTTTTTCCACACTGACTTGTTTATAAAAAATTCATTTTGCCCCATGAAATTCCTGAACATTTTGGGCTTTCTTTGCCATCCTCCCATAAATACAGCACAGTTCACTATCCTTGTTGTATGTGAATCGGCAGCTCGGGCCTTGTCCTGGCACACCCTGTAGGTCATTCACATTCCAGAAATATTTGTCTGAAAGGCAATGAACGAAAGATGATTAATTAATATTCCAGAGGGATATCAGAATTACTGCAAGCATTAAGTACAATGAAAATAAACAATGAAAAGGAAGCCATGGTGATAAATGAAACTTGAAAAACGTTTTCTTCCATTTTGTAATATGACTTTTTTACTACTGTGGACCAACTAAAAACACCTTTACTTCTCATCTCTCTCACTTACAGGTGCTGGCATGTCATTACACTATCTAAAAGTCTTCCTGAATAGGAACACAACCGTGCAACCGAGTATGTCAATACATCACACTGCTCTGCTGTTTTGAAATATCTGTGGACCAGGTTGTCCCTGACTACAATGTGACTACAATGAGAAACAGTGTGCAAATGCATCTGTACTGGTAAGAACATAAAGCACTCTGTTATCTCTTACTGCATACCAACCTTTCTTTTCCTCATACATGTGCCACATATGAAGCCAGTAAGTCCACTGATGACTTGAATAAAACAAAGAATAGCTTCAATCACACCAATGGCCAGCAGAATAGAGAAAAGGACGATATTCCAAAGGATGATGTTTTCAGGTTCTTTGCAAATACTCCATGTTGTCTGGTTGAACAAATAACATTCTCTGTGATAGAGAAAAATAATTGGTAATGTATTAGAAAATGAAAACTTGAGGGTGTTTGCTGTGTTTCCTGGCATTACATTTTCTGAACTTGATTGCACAAAGTGAGTTTCAAATTTTACTACAATTGGTAAAAGATGCTGATTCTCTTCAGAATTGCCTTTGCAGAGGTGCAACAGATGACTAGGGAAGAGAGCGACATTTGTACTTTTTTGCATGCACAAGAATCTTCCTTTTGTTTTGTGGCAGTGCTAGTAACTAAAAGGAAAGTCCCTAATGGTTTTAAAATGTGTCTCCATATATTTCATTCTTGCTGTGTTATCTCAGACCAGTCCATTCATCATCTCTTAGCTCTGGCTTGAAGAGCATGGTTGCCAAGGTTAACTTTAAATAGATAGAAAATATTTTTGCTTTTCCTGTCAGAAGAAGGTCGAGTAGACTTAATTCATGATGACTTAACAGACTGATGTGGCATACTTATCAACATCTCCTTCTGACTCTGGTGGGAGTCACAGCTCAGCAGCCTTTTGAAAGCATTGTGCAACTTGCATAAGGGGCTGCTGACAAGCACAGTGGAAGAAACTTGGGCAGTTTGCCCAAAGATGATCCTTGGTCAAAGAGATGACCAGCTGGAACATGCTGGCTCAGAGAAATATGAATTTATTTGTAGACCAGGTGGACCATCAGTTCACTTTGGAAAAATTAATATTTGCTACAAAAGGATGTGTGTGTGAGAGATAAGGGAAAGTAAAGTTGGAGGAGCCTCTAAGTCATACTCACTCCAGAGTGTCATTCCTGAAAGGGTAGACATATTCTCCATCACCTGTGTCGCACAGAGGGCCCCCAATCAGCCCCAGTGAGGAGATGACTGCACAATATGCTCCTCCTGCAAATCCAAGCACAGCCAGGACCACTGACAGCAGCATCTGAAAGGGAAAAGATCTTCAACATCACCTGCACAGATGCATTGAGCAGCATGGAAAGCTTTCACTGAATGGAAATGATCTTTATGTGTTTCTTACTCATAATAATAGTATGATATTTGTGGTGAAAAAAAAAATAGTTGACTTCTTCTGACTAGTGCAAGTATCCTAGATGCGAAAGGATTTCAGACTGCAATTGTTTCACTTTTAAAAGTGGATAAACCCAGAGTTTTAATTATTCAGAGTTTTATACATGACCAATCAATTATGAAAAATCTGGGGGTCTTCTTTCAGAAAGCCATATGAAGTCAGTACTGGCTTGATGTGGTCCACATCATGTGCCTTGGCATTTCCACCTCTGCACCAAGAGCACCCTTCTCAGCCCTTGTACTGATAGAAACTAGCAAGCAACTACCGAACCAGAAGATGCATGAAGATGAAAGCAACAGAAAATGCATTAATTGTTTGTGCTAACTGCTGAGGAATACAAAAGACCCTTTCTTATTGCTGCTTTTCTTCATTTTGCAACATGACATGCGGTTACTACTACCTGTGTTGAGAAATCTAATTGTGCTTTGTGTGGCAATGAACCAGCAGTGACTTCAAATTATATGTAATGCACCTGTATGTTTTACACTGGCCACTCCCACAGAAACATTACCTTTGCTTTGTTTTGGGGTAGTTTTCTATTAGTGGATGGAATGTATCTGGTTGCTGTTTGTATATAGAAACAAGAATCTCAGGTGGGTGCTACTGGTGTTGTCTCTGGGACGGGCTTTCCCCTAGTCTTGTTAAGAGTCCCCGCCTGCGGTTGTTCATAACTCTGCCAAGAAGAAGAAGAGAAAAGAAAACTCTGGAGCAGACTGACAGAGCCAGGGGAAGACCTGAACTAGGGCCAAGGCAGAAGACAGCCTCAGAGTCAGGGCAGAGGCACGGCTCAGGAAGCACATGGGGAACACTCCTGTCCATGACTTGGGTTTGAAGCCAAACACCTCTGGCAACATTTCCCTGTTGCCAGCAAATACCAGTGAAATCTAAAAGCCCACAAGGAAGGTAGAAACCTTTTCCTAATGCCAGCTGCTCCACAGAGTGCTGCATTACAGAGTCAAGTGGAAATAACCACCATCCACATTGCAGATTTGTGACATAGTCTTGAAAACTATTCACTATCCAAACGTGTTCAGACTGGTGAAAGCCGTTTCCAACTTGTCAGTTGATGACATTACTGCTTTCTATACAACTCTGCATGCTGCCTGTGTGTGAATTGACTCATTTTGTGTGCACTTTTGCCTCTAAAGCAGTCCTTGAGTTGGAAGTAGCTGGGATTTCTCATGCGATTTATTTCATCATAACTGATTAATAACTGTCTTTTTTTTTGCAAAGCTGGACACTCTTTTTGTCTTTATCTGTATGTGGGCTGAGTTGCCTCTTAGCAGAGCTTCATTGTCAGCATAATGTAGGTAATTTAGTATATTGTCCTACACCAAAGCAGTGCTGGGATGTAGATGATGCACTGTCTCTCATAATAAGATCACCAGCCATGCCTCTCGGTGAAGGGGAGTGACTGATACTCTGTCTGAAACTCCTACATATGCTGAACCACTTCTGCCCACCTATTTTCTCATTTACTTCAACTGTGCATTCTGAATCCTGGCTGAGGGATTTTAATTATGCTAATGATTAGTTTTAGCACAGCATAGAATTATGGGCATCCCAAAGACAATTATGATAGAAAATGTCAAATGGTCTTTTGCTAATACTATGTTTTATGATACTGATTAGTACTAGTACAACTCATCAGCACTATCTTTGATGACTATTTGACACATGACTTTCTCATTTGAAATCTGTTGGCTGTATGGCGCTCTTCGTTTCACCAATTTCATTTACTGTGCATGCTTATATAGACAAAGACTAGTTGTCACTGAAAGAGGAGTCTGAAGTTGCTACAGCTGTTAAATTGGTTCTCCTGGGCAGCTTTTAGACACGCAGTGGCATTTCCTCATTATAGCCACTCTTCTGGAGGCTTGTCCCATATTCCATGGAAATCCAACAATTTTATTAACTATTGCATCACCTCAACCTTTCAGCACTTTCTCTAGTTGCACCATCCTCATTTATCACTTTTTTTGGAAAATCTTTATTTCCTCATTTGTGTCTTCAGTTGCAACATGAGGTCTAAACTGGGATGCTTGAGTCTGTTGAAACTAATTTCCCATAGTGTTGACCTGTTCTCTACCTCTTGTAAAGGTTTAGCTGATCATTTTTGCTGATTTTCTTTTAATGTTATCCCTGCTTTATCCCTCACACAATTGAATTGTCTCTGGCAAACTGATTAAGACTTTTAACATTCAGTCTTTGAGCATTTGCATCAGCTGCCTTGGTGAAGTTACCACGTTCCTCCTGCCCCAGCTTGTGCTGCCCTTTATTGTCCTCATTCTTGTTTCATGCACATTTCTTTCTTCTCTGCTTCTTTCTCTGAAGGTGATTTTTTTGTTTTGTTTTGTTTTTTTGTTTTGTTTTGTTTTTTTGTGGAATTAATATCCTGTCTGGTTATCCAGATAGCTTTGCTTATCTAGGTTTGTTTGTCTGGAAAGCTGCTATGGCTATTCTTGCTCTACTAGTAACTCTTAAGGAAGACTTAGAGAGAAATACTGGAGTATGTTTGCTGATGCAATGACAGAAGCTGTATTTTGGGGCCCTTCTTTTCTCATTGTTCCAGCGCAGTGTATCCATTCAGATGTGTACACACTAAGTTGCAAGACACGGAATCTTTCTAAATCTGTGACTTTCCAAAATCATTACTCCCTAATGTAAAGACAAGAAGCCATCTTGGTATGTTTGCAGGCAACCATTTAAAATAGATTAATGAAAAAACTTACTCAATGCAGCACATAATTACCATGAACTGGAGAAGTCAATAAGGTGAATAAAAGGATGAGAAATTTAATAATTATTATTACTGTTGTTGATACTTCAGCAGTGTGTAAAAGTTGTGATGAAGTCTGAAACTACTGAAACAGGGATTGCACAAAATATAATAGGATAGAGTCCCTACCCTGAGGAAAACGGTTATGTTCAGATTGAATAATAATTCTGATCAGAATTAGTTCTTTAGCCTTTTTTTTTTTTTTTAATGAAAAGAAATGCTGAGTATTCAGTGGAAATTATAATTTTATACCTAAGATCCCCAACGCAGAAAGGTGGGCAAACTAACTTCTGAAATACAGAGGGTCCTGAGTAGGTCCAGTGTGGGCTATTTTTCTGCCAGTGGGTAGAAGCTGGCTGACAAGCCACCAAGAGCTGGGGAGCCCATATCTGGTCCGCCACTCAGATCGACCTCACAAGGAGTTCTGGCATCTTGGTAAGTCACCGCTATGATGCATGTTTGAACCAGTTCAAGGGTTCCTCTGCTCTCCAGTGCCTGGTGATTCACACCATACCCTGCCTTGGGTATACAGCCCATATGGTCAGGGCACCTGAGCAACCTGCTGTGGGTCCAAAGCAAGGTTTCCCTGAGGTTTCTCCTGAAGCAGCACATCATTAGCCTTCAGATCTCCCTGCAATACTCACCTCTTTTTTCATGCTTAGAAATCACTCTTCCCCAGCAGCTGTGCAAGGGAAATTGTTGTTTTTAATGTCATTCATAGACACTCGCTCTTTGCTCATGTCCCATCTCATCTCTATATTGAGCCACGTTCTGTTTAAACCATAGAGTGACTTCTAGAGCTTCATCCCTTTCCACCTCAAAGAGGAGGGCAATTCCCACAGTTCCAGAAGACAGCATTTTCAAAGATATACTGTCCTCACCAAGCCTATTCTGCGGTTTGAGTAGATTCATCACCTGGCCATGAGCAAGCTCTCTTTATACAAATACTGTAGTGCATAATCAAACTATTTTCTCAACAATGTCTATTCCTCTATAACAGCAAATAAGGAAGAGGAGGAACAGCCTGTAGGTAACCTATCAGTGCTGGGAAGGTGCAGACAGGATACCTGGCATCCATGTGCTACTGCTAGGAATGGCTTAGACAGCAAAAGGGTGGTGGAGGGGAATGGAGGAGAGCAGGAGATATGTGGATGTGGGCTGCTGAGTGGCACTGCACTATCACCTGTGTCAGTGGGCTGGGGGAGTCTGGGGAAGTTTGACTCTCAGGTCTGCAATACTTAGTGCAGCGATGAGGGACAGAGAAGGGAGACCTGAGATGTTCTGTGAACTGAGCCCAATTCAGCTGGATTTCCCCTCATGACTTACCACATTCAGCAGAGCATGGGAACACGCACAGTACAGCTGTTTTTCACCACTGCTTTCTACATCACTCAAAATAGGAGAAGCAGCTGGCTCAGGCACTGGGTTCAGGGTGCCTAGGCTCACAGCTCTGCAACTGGCCTACTTGGTCATCATTAGCATCCTCTCTGTGTATATGACACTTAGTAAAATCAAGGTGATGACATTTCCCTTGAGATGTACTTGCTGACATCCCAATGAAGAATGTTATTTTGGCACTATGAATAATGAATTAAGTAAAACATCCTGAAGAGGTAAAGTCTTATGGATCAAACTAAATATTAATTGAAGAGTACAGAAGAGGCATGCTTTATTGTATGGAACCTCTCATTCCAGGCTGCAGACTAAAAAAAACATTTCTAAGTCAGTTTATTCTTATAATAATGATAGCCACACAGAAGTCTATGCCCAGAGCTTGAGGATTAATAGAGATGCCTGTATAACATGTTGCTTTATAGTATTATTAATTATAAAGGGAAAAAGTCTCTCTGGCCTTTCTCTGGATGGCAGAGATCCCAAAATGTGTTTGCACCTTTCATGTGCATAATGCTTGGGCAAATGCAAGCTATGGGTCAAAGCATGGGGACCGGCCTCCAGGAAGCAGTGCCGGATCCTTAGTGCCAGTGCAGCAGCTCAGGCTTTTAGCATGGGCCTGCAAAGTGGGGGACCTGTCTGCCCCACAGGAATGAACCTGTGGAAAACTAAATGGCTGTGGAAGGGCATGGAGGAAACAGGACCAGGTAGGAGCAGAAGGAACAGGCAGATGTCTCAATCTTTAGGGTTGCCTAGAGCAGGAGGAAGCTAGAGCCGTGTTTTATTTTACATGGAGTGGAGTGAAGTAGCTTTGTACCCCTCTGCCCTCCGTGTTGTGCCTAAATGCTTCAGCACTTTCCCTGACCGAGAATGATTTCCTTCATTCCAGCAAGATTTCCGTCATGTTATAATGTTACGGGCTGTAATATTATAACATTCTGATTGGCTAACTGAGCTCTCAGCCCCAGCCCACTGACGCTGTAGATCAAGATCCTCTTCTGCATTTCCCTGACATGGCTGCTGATGGTGGCGTGATGGTTTGTCATTGTACATTTCCACCTGCTGAGCAGCCATTTAAGAACTATTGCACAAACCCTACAGTGCCATTTCAACACATAAATATCCACTTACCCCACATCGGCTAGTGCAACATCCTGCTCCACCTGCTCCCAGCATCATGAATGCCAGCAAAATAACCTGTGAGAAAAGCACAAACTGAATTGGTGTGTAGTACTTCTGCTGGGATGGTTTTTAAAGTCTAGGAGCTGGGGCATCATGTTCCTCAAATGCAAACCACCCGCTGCCTCTTCTCTGTGACTTACACTTGCTTAGATGTTGGTGCTTGCTGAAGAGTAACTCGTAAAGAAGTGTGGGATTATGGCTAGAGCTGGCTGGCAAGTTTCCGGTAGAGTGCTCCTGATTGCTGAAGTTATACTGCTTCTTTTCAGCAGGGTTTTGTTGGGTTTTTTCAGGATCAAATGTGTTAGTTCTGAGAAAATGGAATTTCTGCTCAGAAAAGATGTATCACTGGAGTAAGAATTATGTCAGTTTAAATCTTCTGAAATCCTGCTCTGGATTATAATTGAGAAATCAGTCTTAAGCTTCCTGAAATGCATCTGACTTTGGTTCTTTGTGCTAAACTTCTGGAAAACCTACAAAATGGATTTCACTCAACAGGGAGCTCCCAGTTGACATCAGATTTTTCTATAGTAATTTTCAAGTGGAGCTGGGCTGATGCAATGAAGCCAGTAACCATCTGTGTCTCAGGATATAATTCCACTTTACAGAGGCATTCTGGAGATAGGAAAAGCTGCATTTAGTTTGGTAGCCAGAGGGTAAGAAAGCTTCTGTGGATCTAGCTGTGCAGCCAGAGCACTCCTGCTGCCTTGCCTCTGCCCACCACTGCTTAGGTAGGCATCTCAGAGAGCAAGGCAAGAAAATGAATATTTGAGAAAGTAGGGAATAGTCCCTATAAAGTTGATAAAAGAAAGACAGCTCCCCAAAGAAACAAACAAAAAAGGTGAAAGGTATAAAAGCAGTCAGACTAGGTGATGGAGAGATGTTGTCCCATGTAGGGTCAGAAGAGCAGAACGTCCACAGTGAATGAAGCCTCAGGAATTTATATGTGCAGTGTGAATATCTCTAATAGACTATGTAGGAAAGTGTTATAAAACTTGCTTAGATTTGCAGACTCCCAAATATTTTTCAAAGAATTTGCTTTCCATTGTTTTTTATGCACACTCCAGAGGCAGCCTCCAGGACCTGCAGTGGTCCTGGATCACAGCTGGAGACCCGCAGACGTAAAGCATTGAGGTTAAAAAAGTGTTTCTCTTCCTGGGAAAAAGTCAGCTCTTAAAAAATCGCGGGTGGTCCCAAGGTAGTGTCTGTCCCAGCGTGCCACTGTCTGGCACTCAGAAGGAGAGCTAATACCTCTGCCCATCAAACCAACACTCCCTTTCCTCCAGGGCTGTCTTTCTTCTATGGAGGTTTCGCAGCTAAGCTGCCAACACCGTTGTGTCATTTCTTAGCCTGGCTCAGGATGAAGGATTTGCTTGGCAGCTTTCTTCTTTTGCAGTGTCTGATTATAAATACCTGCTTTTTGACATGGGAACGAGAATTTGCTAGATTTGGCTGTTGTCAGTGAAATGAAGGCTGCGCGTGAGCCATGTCTCAGGCATTTCAGGGCGTTTGCACACAGGCTTTCTATCAGGAAAGACATTACCATGACACGTGGAACCAGTCTTCCTTTCTTTACACCCTAAACTTTTGAAATAAGGAAATGGAGAGGTTTTCACGTCACAGAAATTTCCATTAGAGAAGCAGCACAGAAGGAGGAAAGGGTGGGGCTGGCTGCTCAGCCAAAGAGTGTGCGGATGATCTGTGTATCAGTCTGCAGATGAAGTTCCAGGTGGAGGCAGGTTTTCTGGCTCACAGAGCCAGGCCAGACTGTTAGAAAGCTTCCCCCACAGTCCTGGCTCTGAGGCCGTGTCCTGGTTACAGGGAGATTCTCTAAGATCAGGCAACCTGTTGGTGTAACTTTCCTGAGTTTCCTTTGGGGAGCAGCTGGGTGCCTGGGGGAATGTACGGCAGCCTGCTCTGTCCTCACTGTGGGGTACAGACCAGGCTCCAGTCCTGGGGCATTCTGCCCCTTGCTTAGCTCCCTGCGAGGCCCAGAAGCCAGCCTTCATTTTTCCATGCTTCCAGCACCTGGAAAATGGAGCTGATGGTAATGTTTCCTTTCCCCTTCTCTTTACCTCTGGGCATTTGTCATGCTGTTTTCTGGAAAGCAGGTACACTCAAACAGCATTGTTTGTGGATCAATAATTACTCCTAATGCTGTGTTTTGAAGGTCAATGCAAATGTTTCCTCCCCTCTCACTTGCTGTTCTCATTTTTGATGTATGTGGTGCTAGCCACAGGCAAATCTGTGTGGAAGCCTTAAAAGAAGGCACATTTTGAATGAGCCTGTGATGCTCTCATGCCTAACATCTGCCTTTCCTTTCATTGAACGCCAATGACTCCTGGGCTTGCAGTGATACAAATTTTCCACCGGTCTCTCATGCAGTTCCACTTCTTTTAGGCTTCCTTCCACAAACTCGTGCTTACGTTCAAGCTCAGCATGAGTAATAGGCCCAAGTGGTACCTGTAAGAAGAAGCAGGCAAGCTGCTGGTGGAGAATAATTTATGGAGTGATGTTATACCATGTTTCTGGTTTGTGAAGTGGGAGTCTGAACCACATCCATTGTAGCTTTTCCACAGACATAAGTGGTAGCTGCATCATAGCCTGACTATGAATGAGTTTTCCTTTATTCTGAGTTAATTATTCTTAAACATTAATTTTTTTGACACACAGGTAGCCAGTTCTGTGGCAGTTTACTATCTGCCTAGACTGTGTAACAGCCAGTACTTGTCATAAGCATGTTACTCAGCTTTTTATCTGCACTTGGATGAATGAGGAAGAAGGATTTCTAATGAACTGGAAAAACCAGTATTCACAAACATGTTCCCTTCTAGCTATGGATATTCACATAAAAGCAATATTTCCTGAGTGGTGGAATTGAGAATTGGTTACAGAAGAGCACATACAAATCAGATCAAACCCAAAAGGAGGTAGGTGGGTGTGTGGGAACTCAGGAGGCATTTGGGATTTGATCCATTTGCAGCTTCACATTCATTGAGTGTTGGCTGGGTCTCTAACAAACACCTATGGAAACATGTTTCAGTTTTGCCCTTATGTTTTTTTTGTGAATTATTTGAGCATAAAATCAGTTAAAGGAGTAATGAGGGGTGCAGGCAATAGTGAAAACTCATCAACTCCTGAGCTTAAGACCTCATCTTTGCATTGACTCATGGAGGATGACCATCCATGTCACTCCTCTCAACAGTGAGAAGTCAGTCCTATTGTTTCCTCCTGACGGAGTCCTGGTATTTTTTTGAGGAATACCTTGTATTCCTGTGATAAAAGACTTTTTCAGTCTTGAATGCACTTTCTCAGTCCCATACCCAACTTCCTAGTTAAGCTGCTCACATGTTTATGCAAAACACATTTCTATGTTGGTTTTTTGTTAACTGAGGCTTTTTTAGTGCTGAATTTAAACCAAAACAAAACCCATAAGAAACCGTAGCAACACTTCTTTCTTACCAGTATCCCAGCTCCCAGAATGCCATGGAAAAACCAGACCAGATCAGTTATCTCACTGAGCTGCAGAACTTGTCCGTTGGGGAAATACAGGAGGATGTTGGAGACTATGGCACATGCTGCCAGTGGGACCAGAGTGATCCCAATGCACTTTGAACACTTCCTCGTGCACATAGTAGCTCTCTGCTGAAGAAAGATACAGGGAGGTTTGAGTTACTGTGGTGCAGGGAACATGGATTTCAACAGTTTTCTTCTTTAACGAAAGAAGAATCAGTTTTGAAGCAAGAAATGTTACAGTTAAGACTGACACAGGTAATCCGGTTCTACAGAACATGCTCCCTTCAGAGATTCTATTTAAAATAGAATTATTAAAAACTGGAATGATTAATTAAATTTATTTAAAATTTCCAGGACTAAACATGTTGGTATGAAATAAATCGAGAGTTTAATTTTAGTTGTTAATACACAATTATCTGCCCATTGGGAACATCATTACCAAAACCATGGCTGCACAAACTGATACCCTGGCTGGAAGACTTCATGGTGGGGCTAAGGCCTTGGGTAGAAGGGGAGGTTGTTGCACTGTGTCGTCTGGGACCACTGTCTTGGGAAGCTATTTGAAATCTCCTGAGCTGAGGGTCTAGAAGAGCAGGAAATGTCTGCCAGGAATACCATAGAAGTGTTCAACTCTGCCTTGGTGTTGGGGCAGATGGGGGAGCCTCACCAGCGCCCCTACCAGCTGCATTTTCTCTGTTTCAGTCCAGAATACACAGTCAGGAAGAACTGGAGAAATTTCATTACTCTTTTCTGTGATGTGCTTATTCTGCAGATAAGGATAGATAAGACTGTGGGTTACAGGGCTGTTTGGCACCCACCCTAAAATATCCAAAAATCTGGAAACATGTCTAATCCTGTGTCTGTTTACTAAGGGCAGGTCACAAAGCCATTGCACTTCATTTTCAGAGATCTGCCATAGCATGTAAAACAGCAGCTTAATATTTCACGGCGGTCAGGTTCTTCTTTTAAAATCAAAGAATCATCTTTCAAAATCAAAGAGTCAGCATAAATGAAGCACTGATACCTCCTGAAAGCAGGACCACAACCAACACTAGCTCTTTGTGTCAGCCATGGCTTTGCGTAGCTGAGCTTTGAAACCCTGCCAAGGATGGAGCTACCACCACCTCTCTGGGTGACCTGTTGCAGGGCTGCCCCAGCATCTTGGTGAAAAAGTCTTTTCTGATGTCCAACCTGAATCTCCCAAGCTGTAAATGTGGCTGTTGCTCCTTATTATCTCCTCTCCTACCACTCCATCACCTCTGTCACTCTCTTCCAAGTTTGTTGTAGGCTGCTATTAGATCCCTCTTCACCAAAGTGAACTACCTCAGCTCATACAGCACCCATGCTGTGATCTATAACCAAAGAGAAAAGGCTGATCGGTACAAAAGTGGATCTACAGATATTTATCCATGCCAGGTTGGAAATTTTGGACTACTGGGTCAGAGACTATTAAACTTTCACACTGCCATTACCTTTATGGCACAAACTGATCACAACTTCTCCATGATGTTTTATCATAGCTTCACTCCAGCTCAAGTCTTTCAAATGCATAAAAATGCAAAATATCAATCTGATGGTTTCTGTCATTAGAGAAAGCTGACAGTTTATGCCCAGGATGGCTTTGCTCTCCTGTAAGCAAGTTACAAAATGTAAGAGACAGAAGAGGATCTGGACACACACCATTTCAGTACACACACCTGTGTTACACACGCACATGTGCAGCCATGCATGTGCGTATACCTACGCTTCCTACTTGCAAATAGTTTTTTGTAATAACTGAGGCAGTAAACAGTGAAATGTCCCTCAATTTAGTCATGTGCATTGGCTAATCCTGAAAGTCTTGTGACAGAAGTCAGTGTTGAGAAGGTATTAAGCAGGCTAGGAGTACAGAAATCAATCAAGTTTGGGTTCCCAAGCAAAAAAAAAGCCCAGGTGAAAGACAGAATGAAGATACCAGAGAAAGCCAGAGACAGGCTGAAACTGGCTTCGTTGACAGAACGAAGACGGCAGTGAGGTAAGGCATGAAGACAGAGCAATGTCCTCAAACCTCTGTAACAGAAAACAATGACTTTATGGGATGCCATATATTGCTGAGAAGTAGCTGAGACTGCCAGACTTCTTTTGATTTTGCATTTCTATAGTAAAAAAATTGCATTGTTCTCTGCTGCTACGAGTTTAATAAAAGCACTGTGCTTATGTGCCTTTTCTTCTGAGCACTTTACAATCATGTTATGTTTTTTATTCCATCTTTTAAACAAGTTAACTGGCATTAAACTATTCCAGAAGGGAAAGTTTTTCACAGAGATGCTTCTTGGTTTACAGTCATTACCTATTGTTTATATAGTGATCAAAATTTGGCAGGGCATTTTGCAAGCCTCTGGAAAAAGCCCCAGCTAAAAGAATGAAAAATCTAAGCAGATCAACAATGTGCAAATGAAAGATGAAGTGGGGTGAGAGTGAAGGGAAATGGCAAGAATATCGGATATTTCACTCTTCTTTCTTTCAAATACCCAATGCATTCACTACTTTTTTTTTTTTTTTTTTTTTTTTTTTTTTTTTTTTTTTTACGCTGACTTCTGTCTGTCTGCTTTCCTGTCTCATTCCAACTTCTGCTTTTCCATGTGTTTGCCCAACCTCACCTCCTTCTCTTCCCCAGAGAGAAGCAAACAAGCACAGGCACAGCCTGGCTTTCTTTTCTAAAACCTAAGTCTTGTAGGCGAGTTATAAATTCTCTTCTGCATCTTTCGTACATAGCCAGAGGGCCCAATTCTCACTTCGAGCGACGCTGCTTGGACTGGAAGAACAGGGGTTTACAGCCCATTCTCTCTGACCTATCTCAATACCACTTCAAACTGCAAGAAGAACTTACCTAAACATCAATCACTAGACCTAGAGAGAGCCTTTACCACCAAAATCAAGGCCGCTTTGCTACCTGTGTACATCAGAGGATCTGACCATGTTATTACAGCTTAGGAAAACACTCTGCATTGCCAGGAGCACTCAAAATGCTTTAATAATTCAGCAAACAAAAGCACTTTCTACAGCTTCGTTAAGCAGGGCAGCTAGAGTAAGCTTCTAATTTTTAACTAGGGTTTTAGAAAGTTTTGCTTTTTAATGCTGAGGGAAGCAGGTATACCTTTGCTTACCTTCTACACGGGCTAAGATGGCCTCCAGGCTCCAGAGTTCCCTGCAGCCGGCTTCAGGCTTTCCAGCTCCTCTATCCTGAAGCGTGGCGGTCTGAGGGAGGCACAGTGATGTTCTCGGGCAATGGCCTCTATTAAACAAATAGCTGGTTTTCTCCAGAGAATGAGGAAATACCCAAAGTTATCCCTGGTTGGTCTGTGCGAGGTTGGCATCCCACCCAGTGTTATTGATCATTTTAAGGCAGTGTTCCAGTGGTCAATGCCTTGGGCCCCCGGGACATGCAGATCAGAGCAGTGGAGACCTCTTTATTGCTACAACCATTTCATTTGTGCACGATCTGGCAGAAGAGGAGAGGCAGGAGAGGACAGCAGTGCAAGCACATGAAGAGCAGCAATGAGCGGGTGAGAGAAAATGTGGTTGAAGCATGAGGCGGTGGCAAAGTCTGGCCATCAGTGTGGAGTTGTCTTCTGCATAGTGGGTTGTGGATGTTAAAATTCAGAATCGTCTTTGCTCCAAAGTGTGCTGCTGGGAGAGCTGGGTGAGGAGAGTGGGGCTGGGAAGGGAAAGAAAGAAAATTCTCAATAAGCCAGGGAAAGTAAGAGGGAGAAGGGTGGAAAGGCTGGAGAGAAGGTAGAGGTACAACCAAGTGAGGAAGCAAGGAAATAAAAGCACAGTTCCAAGGACCAGAGAGTGCAGATTCACTTTGGCAAAGGAGAATAGAAAGGTAGAAGAGACACTAGGGATGGGCCAAGAAATGAAAAACACAGCAAAGGGTATGAAGAAATGTTAAAATTAAACTGGGAAAAGAGTCATACTGGAGGAAAGAGGGATGTAGCCATTTTCTTTTGTAGTAAATGACATAGTAATAACTGTTAAAATATGTTCAAACACTAAAACATATAAATACCTATGTTACTCAGTAGGTTAGGTTTGCTGGCAATATGCTCAGTGCTCTTTTCAATTGAAAACGTCCCCTCTGGAAGGCACTTGCCATTGCCTTGTTCTCAATATCCAGATGGAAGGGTGATTTGATCAAAAAAACCCCATCAATGAAAGGGGCATGTGAGTGAAGCAAAGATATAAAATATTCCACTCTCCAACTTGCTGTCTCTCATCTTCATTCTCATCTTTGGAGGAATTCTCTCTCTATGCAAGATTGATTGCATGGGGTGGAATTAATTTCACATGACTTTAGACATCCATGAGGTAGATGTTACTCTAGACTGCCTTTATTCCTGGTGAGAGAAACAGACACTTTTAAGGAAAAAATCACCAGATCTGTTTTAGGAGCTACTGTAGGGTTACAATAAATCATTAATGGTGAAAGAATCTCAACACTTGTTCAAACTTAAATGTCGGCATTTGTGGTCAGATGAATCCTGCCCATGAGGACTACCAGCGTGGCAGGGTGGCTGCAACAGCACAGGGGCAAACCTGGCACTTCAGTCCCCAGGTTACATACTTAATACCACCAGCGTCAAAGGATGCAGGGAAGGTGATCTTCATCACTGAGTCACAGCTACTGAGAAATCTTTAAAAAGCCCATAGACTGATCTCAGGCAAACAAACTTCATTACAGTACAAATGGCAAAAAGAAGGGAAACTAATCTGAACCCGCAGAGCCCTATGCCCCCAGCTGACGCCAGTGGCAGTAGCATTTTGCTGTGTTTTATGTGGTGGTGCTTCAACACCAAGGAAAAGGAACAAAGTAAGTCTCATGCAATCTTCAGACAGGGAAAGGCACAAGGTCTAATGGCATTTAAAGCTTTTTAAAGAATTAAATTTAGAACTTGAAGACTGTCAACAATTTGCACTGACAGCTGGAGCACCTGGGGGGAACCTGCCAGCTTATCTAGAGAGTTAAGAAGCAAATAAAGAAACTTCATAAAGATGCTTAAGAAGAACCCTCCCCCTAAATCTCATATCCTGGTTGCTTGGAGTTTTTATAGACTCTATAATATCTCTCAGGTACCACCTTTCCCATCCTAACATGGTTAACACTGTCATTTGGTATTAGCATCCTTGATTTTGATTCTGTTTTTCTCTGATTTTGCCCATCTCATAGTTCTCCAGAATGATGTGCAAGGCTCACCTCTGTAGTTTTCCATCTGTACCATGTCCTCAACACTATGCATTCCTTTACTGAACTTTTAAAGTTTATTTTCTTACCTTCTAAAACCTATCGCATCCTACCATACTTCATCTATCACTTATTTAGTGTCTAGACTTGGTACCTAGACTTGATTTTGTCTCTCAATTTCAAATACCTCTCAGTGCCATTCTCCACTGAATGCTTAATAGGTTTTAAAGCAAGTGCACAATGAGCAGAACCAATAAAGTATTAGTATTGTGCTTTTCCATTTACTTACAGCAGCATGTTGTCTTTTGCTCTACTACACAGAGTTGAAACTATTTGGAACACGTTCAGTGTTTTCACCTATGTTTGTACAACACTTTGTGCTCAGGTCCTTAACTGAAGACCAGCGCTTCTAGCCATTAAGAAAAATAAAAATCCTGGTAAGCTATATTAAATGAAATTCTCTTACTGCTTCAAGAATATCTTTAGATTTTCTCATTACTGGGTAGGATCTATACTCAGTGTTTGATGAGTTCTGAACTAAATACTGCACACTCTGTGGTGCAGAAGGAATGCCGAAAAGAACACAATAGAAGTCTGTATTAACACCAAAGAGACCGACTCCTGCCTGTTTTTCTGAAGTGATAGACTCATCCGAAAAAAAAAATGAAAAAAACAAGCTCTAAAACACTTAGAAGAACAGAGTTTAGTCTGTGAAGTGTTTAGTGGCTAAACTGAGTGTATATGATTGTGTACATCTATTTTTCCCCCTGCAATATTGATTTTGAAGGCAACGAAAGCATTTTGTGTTCCATTGATCAATGCTTCCTGATTATGTTGACTTACTGTATGTCAGCTCTGGTCCTCCTTTTATTTCTATCCTTTTAGCCATAAACTCTTAATTAATTTTCCAGTTACGTGTAGTAGCACAGGTACTGAGAGAAGAAATGTAATTACATGAAAGATCCTGTTTATCACACTAGAAATGAAGGCCATTACAGGCCTACAATTTCCCTGGGTGGTGCAGCGTGTGAGCTAGAAACTGAAGAATTACAGCCCCGTGCAGGTTTTTGAAGGGCATATCTGACTGCCCACTTACTCTATTAATAGATCTATCCCATTTGGAGTGCAGCTGTAGTGCGCTAACGAGAAAATGCCCTTTTTGCTGTTGATACCCTGTGTAAAAAGGAGCCAGGCAGCTCTGTTCTCATTTATTCTAGTGCAAATCTTAAGTGGTTCCTCTGAAGTCAAAGCTTTATTCTAGGTACGCAGTGATACTCCACTCAATTTAATTTATTCCACTTTGGCACCATGACACAAATTATCTCTTCCTGATGTTTCCTGTGACACTTTGTTGATGATGTTTTCTTCAAATGAGGGAAATGAGGTTGATTTTGCCAGAGAAGGATCAGGAACTGCTGTTAAGAGGGTTTTTTTGAAATGAGCTGGCTCTGAGAAGGTTCATGAGTTTGGGCGTTGCACATAACCTTCCCCAGAGCCCCAGCTGGCTCTCCCTGCTCTTGCAGCAGGTACCCAAGTTAACGTGTCTGCCTGTATCCAGGAGCGTGTGGATGCCCTTTTTAAGGTAGAGACAGCAAGGTGGAAATAGCAGTACCAGTGTTATTCAGCGTTTCCTTTATCCAGAGTATCCCAGACCTACATAGACCCAGATAAGAAAGAACTGATCGCATGACGAGCACTGAGCAAGATGAGGGACAGCTCAATGCAAAAAGGCTCAGGTCTTGAATTGGATCAGAGGTAACCACAATAAATAACATTAAATAATTAAGTGGTGCACGTTACAGTGCTTATAATAAGAATATATAAGAGTCTGAAGGGGTGGAATGGGAATTGCTCTGGGCCAAGTTTGAAATAGGCTCTCTGCACTCTTTGGGAGTATGTTCAGGGCATGGTACCTTCACACATGCATAGTCCTAACACACAGCATGCTCTGGATGTGCACTTCACAGGGACAACAGCTTAAATATCACATGGATGGATCTTCTATTTTACCTATTTTTCTGTTATTTTTTTTCTTTCTTCCTTTTCCCTTGTATCTCTTTTATATGCACAACTCCAGGCTCTCTCTCCTCCCTGAGATGACATCCAGAGTCTTTGCTGAGCAGTTTTCTCCCTCTGAGGTTGGTGCACACTTCATTGCCTCTGGCGATGCTAGTACCACCAGAAAGAGACTGTTCTTTAGGAATAAACCCCACGGTTATCAGTGACTCTGGGAGCCTGAGCACCCTGTGTTTGCGCAGCCAACAGTCTGCAGAAGAACCTACTGGGATGAGGGAGAATGGTGCCAAAACAACACCCATCAAGCTCTGCCCTTCCAGCAAAGTATTACCCGCTGCTTTCTTGTGCATATGCATGTTCGCAAAGCTCATTTTATTTAATTACATGACTGTTTTGTGGAGGGACAGCACTGTGGCAGCCCCACTGTTTTCTAAAAGAGCAATGAACCATGACCTGTGGCCAAGGGTTGTTTGTGCTCCTAACACAGAACAACATTGTCCCTGTCCAGTATTAAAATAATTAGAGGTTTGTGCTTTCGTTTTGCTGGTTTTGTGCAACACTTCTTTCTGGTTTTGGTTGAAAGACATTTCTCATCCCTGTGTTTTGTCACTGGGGTTTGTCCAAGTAGGTGCTCAGGGTATAGGTGAAATAGGATCTAAAAGCAGTACCCACTGGAAGATGCCCCTATTTACCTGACCAAATGGGAGAAATGTTACTTCTGGTGGTCCTTCTCCTCCCTTCCTAACTTGCCCTAAACTGCCCTGTGTCCCCCAGGAAGCCTTCGGTAGTGAAGATTAAATATTGGGAATATGCTGCAGAAATGTGGGTTTTGTTAAAAAATGTTCATTGCATTTTTTTAGAGCGGTTTGACATTGTCAGGAGACAAGGTTTCTGCAGTTCAGGGTGATGTTTCTGGTCAGACTGAAAGACTCTGGCTCAGCCAGGTAACCCATGGGAGATTAAAAACTCCCATATGAGGCTGAAGCACCTGGAGCAGCAACTCTGACCAGAATGAAAGAGGAGGGCAACAGCAGAGAGATTAGGAGTGACCATTAAGTGTTTTGTTATTCC